GATATTCAGCCTGGTTGGAAGGGAAAATGAAGTGTTCAGCTGGAAAAACTGGGGAGAAGTCAGTCAAGGAAGTTACAGCAGCAATAATTACAGAAGAATTATGGGCAGTGAACATAGGGAAGACACATTAAATACAAACAGGTTAAATTCAAGATTGTTTATGACCTGGTGGCACTATTGTTCAGAAGCTGGGCTGGGGGCAGTTCTGCATTACCTAAATAAGCTATTTCTCTACATTTTCCATAAAAGTAAAATAGCTGTCTGCCAGGACACTCTGCAGTTTTGCCTGTGTGTTTACCAGCTCCCCAGTTCTGGGAACCAAGCCTTCCTAATGCAAGGATGTGGTTGAAACCAGAACTTATTTCTGCAGCCTGCTGGATGGCCTGGAAAACTCAGGGATGAGCTAACTCCCTAAGTGTATCTTGCAAGCTGCATTACTCAAAAAAAAGGGAAAAAAAAAAAAAAAAAAGAAAAAAAAAAGAAATTAAAGCAATACCCTGGCCCAGAAAAATCTCAGTTTGGGAGATCTCTGTGCAAGGTGGTTCCAGGCAGGTTCCACGGGAGCTGTCTCACTGGAAAAGTCACACATCCATCCACCTCTGCAGGGTTAAAGGAAATCCAGAGCTGCACTGGGAAGCTGGCACTGTCTGTGGCTCACGTGAGTGTCTCACACACAGCAGTGCCAAGGGATCCAGTTTCTGCCATGGCCTGCATCTGCCAAGTCCCATGAAGAAAACAGCAAGATTTTCACGGAATTTGCGAACTTTACAAAACACCCACGGCTGCAAAGGAAATCTGATAGTAGCAGAGCTACTGTAGTTTAAAAGTTACCTTAATTAAGCCTATTTAAAGGTAAAGGTTTCTCTGAGGTGCAAGGCTTAAACCTGCAGCTTAATGTATTAAGGAAAAAATCCAATTTTCTTCTCATGCTTTACAAAACCCTGGAGACAAATTATGTCTTTGTGCCACTTTTTCTACTCCTATGACTTCATACTATGGTCCCAATAAAGCTCTGCTAATCACCAACAGAATCAAATTACAAATTAAAACCCAGTGATTCAAACAAAGCTCAAGATTACTTCAGCACAATAAAAATGGAAGAATCTCACTCCCATTTTCACAAACAATCCTAACCATGCTTTGGTAACAAACCAAAGACATGTCACTTCCTTTTTTTGCTTCACCACTCATGGCAGCTGGGGGGGATCACAAGGCTATAACCATTTCAGATGAGTCAGTGTAATATTGATTTTTGCCTCTGCTCCAGCTTATCCAGAAAGTGTCCTATTGATTCTGAAGGAATTATCTGCGGACTGCTAGGCATGAGAAGGAAAACAAAGTGGGTGTCCTGGCTGTAGACAGGACACGCACTGAACTGCACACCCATTCAAAACTGATAATCAGGTTCATGTATTATCCATTATAATACAAATAATAGAAATAATACCATACATATATATAAATAATATAAATAAATAACATTTATAAGTAGATATAAATTAGTGTTGTAGGAGTGTGAGCAGAAAACATAAATTACAAATGTATAATAAGATTTGACCATCTCCACAGATATTAGCACATAATTCAACTATTAGCACAACTTCTACAGAACACTCTTTTATTCTCAAAAGCATTCTTAAAAAAAACCCAATGTGACACATGCCAGTTAAAAATTTGATAAAACAGTAATTCATTTTGGGAGGGAAAAGTTGTGTCAGTTTGTTTGTTCATGAATAAAATCTGTTTGTTTAACCTATATTTAGCACTCAGTGCACTTTTGTTAATATTGCACTTGTCCCTAGCCCAGAACTGTCCAACTTATATTCCTGGAATTCCCAATTATTTCCTCAAAGGGGAACTGACAGCTTATGGATTGTGTTGATTCACTTGCTTCTCTCACTCAACACATCTTTTGTCCACTCCCTTGTCTTGACTATTGTGTTCACTCAATAAATCTATATTACAATAAATTGTTTTCCATGACTGTCATCTCTCCCACCAGAATGCAATGCTTGCAAAGGAAGGATCTCTTCATCCATGAGGTGTTTCTTCTCAGATATATCTACATTATCATCACCTTCTTGATCCACCTCACACTGACTTTCTTTCACTGCAAGCAAACACTGCCTAATACACTGTATTTCCTTTAAATAAAAAGAAAATACCTGAAAAAAAATACACCTTGTGCAGGAAATGTTCCCCAGGGAAACATTTAATTAACAAAACTCCAAGGCCACAACTCAGGTTTTCCTTGCTGAAGAATAGATCCAATCCTGTCTCCCAGTCATCTGGGATGTAATTTTTTTCAGAAAGGCAGAGGATGTGGTGAGGAGCAGAGTTATAGTCTGGGTTAGAACTGAGCACTGAAAAAAGACAGGCTCAGCACTCTGGTCAAACCTTAGGCCTCCTCTCTCTAAACTGAGAGCAGCCACTAACCTAAACCATTCAGGAATTGCCAAGGAGTCATAGCAATAAGGAAGTAATATTTGCTACAAAAGGAAATGGGAGTCACCCAAAAAAATTATTACCTCCTGAGAAACAACAGATAAAAATCAGTCTCGGGGCCTGGCAGATGGACAGATGCTGTAACAGAACTAAATCTGTTCTCAGATACTTGCAGATAAAATTCCTTTATAAGGAGAATAAACAATTCCACTAGAGATAGGACAGAAGTTTGGAAGAAAATGTTTAGTTTTGCAGTTTTACAAAATATTTGGTCCCTAAGAAGAACAGTTTCTTCCAATATGCAGGAGTCCATGAAAATGAACAGATGACAACATCCTCACCCTTTGAGGACAGTATCTCCTTTTCAGTCATGGCATTTTATCTGGTCATCAGCAACCATAAAATCCCTGAATCTCTGCCTTAGAAAGACAATGGTCTGTCTTTCAAACATGGGTCCACCCATCAGTTAAGTAATGGAAATGTCTATTTGATGGACATTATTATAGTAGGGCAATATACACATATTCATGCTGAATTAATAATTTGCTATATATTAAAAAATAGTATTAAAAAAGCACAGATCTTTATTTTGCATCATTGTACCTTTCTGTGATTAAAACTAAAACCAAGTTGGAGATCATGCAGAAAATATAGCTAAAGGCAGAGTATCAAAAAATTTTACATAGGGCAAGCAACAAGAAAGCTCAGAAAGCCAAGCCCCTCTCACTTAGTTATTTCCAACACTATCCATTATTCTTCAATTCAGTTTGACCTGTGCTGTAGCTCTTCAGATAAGGAAATCATGGACAGATAGCAGCAAACGTCAGCTCTCAAGATCAGAAGGACAATCAAATGAAATCAGCAACTTTCTTAGGTTTGTCTATACAGAAAGGGGAAAAATCCCAGAACAAATGTTCCCGTAGCACATGCACAGAAATATCCCCTTCCTCAGCTCACCCCTTTTCTCCTATGGCTACACCAGTAATCCCAAACAAATTTTGGCAGCCCCAGGTAGTCCTAACATCACCCAGGAGCCTTTAGAGAACCACCAGCCACTCCAGAGATCACTGTTCAAAGATACACAAAAGGCAACCAGCTGAGGAAAAAGCAGAAGGTAAGAACTGCACATGTACTCAGAGTGACTTATACCAGACACAAACCCTGTGAGAGGAAGGGTTATTTCTAAAGGCAGATTTAGAGGTTCCTGTCTCATATAAAGCACACTTTCAGACTTGAAAATCTCAGTAAATAACAGTATTTTTGCAATCTGTGCTGTCTAATGATTCACATTTCTTCTGCATGTTTGATTAGTTACAGAAAAGCTTAATACATAAGGTTTTCAGAAAGAAAGATAGCATGTTTTGACAATTTATTTTGACAATTCAGTGCATTAGATTAAGACCAGTCTCACAGCAACACACTGTTGTGAAAGAACAATGGCTCTTTCAGTTTTATGCCTTATGCAAAACTTGGGTGTTTCTTTGCAGCTATATATGAATCCCATGCAAGCAAGCATACACGAAAACTACACAACAAATGTAGTAGTTAAATATAAAATAGTTAAATTCTTCCTCATGCCAACAAATATGCTACTGGAACAACAGATCAGTTCCAGATGAACTGAATTATGATAGCAACATGTTTGAAAGTTGAAGAAATGAACATTTCCCTTTTTTTAAGAAAGATAAATGAGACTTGTTAATTTTATAGGAATAATGTACTAAGTATATTAGCAGTGTAATATCTTTGCAATTTGTTAGAAATTTACAAGGTCTGTGGACTTTAACTTGTAAATACAGTTGTTTTATTGGTTTTTTTTTCAACCAGGCAGTCACTAGCAGAGATCCACCTTGAACTTGATTGTAACAAAATATGTGGTTTTATGTTAGCCTCAAATATACATTTTTAAAGACCTTAAAAAGGGGCTGGAATAAATAAAGAATTATAATGAATTGAAAAATTACTTTGAGAAACTGTATTTCAGCCAAAGGGAAGAAAAGATAATGATTTGTGTTCTGCAGAATCTCCTGCACATGCTTTTATGGCAAAGGGAAAGGAGAAGGAAATGAGAGAAATTTGACCAGAGTACAATGGAAAGACATTGAGAGTTCAGGGAGTGAAGAGTAAAGGGAAAAATGGTTGAGTCAGTGGCAGAGTGAAAAAGGAGGACAGAGTTGCTAGGAAGGCTTTCCTCATAGCTTTTAAATGTGACCTGGCACCATCAAACTTTGCACATTAGTAAAATAAAAACTGTGAGATTTTCTTACATGTAAAATAAAATTATGTCTTTGCTCCAGATACTGTGCTATCTGCATGTTTCTGAGCACAAAAAAAAAAACATTAAAAAATGAAAAAGCTCATTAGTGCTGCTACGTGGGAACAGTGTTTGCAAGTAAATGAAGAAAAATCAGGTTACACAGAGTAACCTGATAACTCAGAAAAAAGCTCTGATCAGAAAGCAGAAGCCCAAGCTCAGAACTGATGATTATCTGTCTAAAAGAGAGGACAACACCATGGAAAGAGTACAAGACAGGCAGAAGCAGGTGAAAACTCACCACTGGAGCAGTTGGGTCCCCCCCAGCCAGGCTCACACTGACAGGTGTTGGGAGCAATGCAACGGCCATGGACACATTTATCAGCACAGTGAGCTGTCAGAGAAGGGAATAAAAAAAATCAATTACAGAACTCCTACCACTAGGAAAAATAGTATTTAAAACAGTCCTAACGCAGCTCTTTTGTGTCTCAAGTACCTCTTAAAAGCAAAATAAATACCAGTGTATTAACATTTGGTGGCATCTCTTAAAAATGTGTTTCACGTCAGTCTCTTCTATTTCTCCTAAGTTTGAAGACTCCAGCTCAAAATGTGTTAGTATTTCTCAAATACTTCAGAGGAAATTGTCCAAATTTAATGAAAAAAGAGTCAAAGTACGATCCAGGTTGGAAACCCATCTGACCATGGTCCTGGGCACGAGGTTCTGGTTGGCCCTGCCTGAAAGTTGGATGGGATGACTTCCACAGGTCCCTTCCAACCTCAACCATCCTGTCTGTGACTCTCTGCAGCAAACCCTCATGCCAAGAAAAAGAGGGGAAGTTCAGCAGGCATCCAAAGAAATGCTCTTTTGCAACAGCATGGATAAAATATGATTTGCAGCACACCGATATTTTAGTATCAACTTTACCAAATGATTGCACAGTTCAGTTGAAGAATAAACAAACAGTGACAGTGATTGACGTGAAGCATGACATATAAACCTTATGAATCACTGCAACTCTTATTTTAAGTGCTAAACAGGGCTGCCTTAAATTTATTCCTTTTTATTTTTTTTTATGATTCGCAAACATGTTTTTAAGCTAAGTCTTACTTTGAAACAGATCTTTTGTTTGAAGCATCTAAGAAAAAAATGAAAAGGCTTTGATATCCAGCATTATCAATGACAGCATATAATACACCCAAGAGGAAGAATCTCTGACCAGCAACAGTTTGCTGGCATCACATCAATCACAATATACCCCTAACTTTCCAAAATACATACACTGTAATAATTTCCTTCAACTCTAAACAATAATAAAACCTAGAAAATGTGCACAGGATTAAGATTTTCCTTTGTACCAACATTTCCAGAGAAACTAAAGCAGAAATCTGACTGCTATACAAATGAATACAAAGTTATCAAGGGGAAAAAGACAAAGTGGATATTAAAAAGAAGTTTAATGGGGCTACCATATGAATCACTGTGAATGACTGAAAATATTCTAGAGTAACTAGGTGTCTAGGTAAAAATACTTGCAAGTATTCTGGGTTTTTTTCAATTAAAGATGATGAAGCATATTATTTATCTTTACATTTAGTGTGTTCAAGAAAAAGGAAAACCACACAAAGATCAATGAAATAAAAAAAAAAATATTATCTGGGATCCCAGCCATTAACCGCTTATTCTTACAGTCATTAGTTTTCATTCTCAACTATTTCTAACAAGCTACTTTTCAGATGTGCATTAAAATGATCTTCATTAGAAATCAACAGGGAGAATAATAATTTTTAAACATTTGATGAAGCAAGGCATTAACACAAAGGGTTGTTGCCTATTTATGTGTTATGGAAAGACTGAGTTTAAATAATTCATCACAATTTTCCATTAGTCTTGTAGCTTGACGTGAATCACTTGTATCTTTGAAGATTCCTTCCTAGTTAGTGCTGCCTTGGGCACTGAGGCTCTCCACAAACCAATGTGTGAAAAACCTTGCCAGCACGCCGTGAGGCAACAGGAGGTCACTGTAAACATGCAGTGTGAGCACTTGTAGGAATAACCCAGGGAATGCAACCATGCTCAGCCCAAATTTCTGAGCCTTAAATACAAAAAGGCAACACTCCACCCCCTCCTCTGTGAGACAGCTGGAGCAGAACAGTAAAATAAAACAAAAAAGTTGCAAGAAACCAAACCTATCTCCTTGCACTGCCCCTCTCGCCATGCTGAGCACATGGATCCACATTCTGGATATAGATAAAAATCTGTTCTCTAACCAAAAGAAATTGTTCTCCAGACACCTTCTGGGCTAACTGATTCTTGGCGAGTGAATCCTACATCTGTAAGAGACAGCACATGTAAAAAAAATATTTCGGTGGACATGGTGATGAGAGAACCAAAATTTATTACACAGAGCTACAAAGAGGTGAGGACAACATAAAAAGCACCTAAAAGCAGCTGAAAAGACAAGAATGACACCAGGAACAAATAAACTACTTTCTCTTGGTTTTCTATGGTATTGTTGTGCACAGTTAAAAAAAAAAAAAAAACTTATATGCAGGTGCAGGTGAAAAACTTAACATGACAGGTTTTTTGTTTTACTGACCAGTGTGAAGAAGCACCAAAAGCTCCTTGGTGGTAATTGCCATGTCTTCCTTTTTGCCAAGGGAAAGCTCAATTATTATATGAAAAGCAATCTGTGTTTACTCTTGAATATTTGCTTTTACATCTTATCTGCCCTTTCCTTTTGTGCCTTATTGTTTTTTCAAGATCTTTTCTACATTCATGCCTTCATTATCTGATCTTAAAAGAAGACTTGAAAAAATGTATTTTTATCTTTGATGTAAGTTTATGCGTGCATTTTAGGATCTGTTGCTTTTTCACTTCGAAAAGCCAGCCATAAAGCAGTTAACATAAAATTGAAACACTTTGCATGAAATTATGCACATAAATTAGATGACTGCAAGATTTAACCCCAATTTCTCCAAATTAATTGAAACAAGCATTTGTCGTGGGAAAAAATCAATTATCTATTAAACAATGTAATAAACATGTTTTTTTCAAATAAATCCTTCACTTCTATACTGTATGCTAGAACATATCCCTTGTTTGATCCTTATTTTCTGTGCTTGATGGTTATTTGCTAGTAAAGTAAGTGATATCCAATTATACTTAAGATGGATGGTGCATTTGCTATTTCATGTTTTGAGGAAATTCAACAGGCATAGTTCTCCATTAAGATTCTTAGAAATGTAGTACAATGTTAGAAATGAAGCGAGGTAAATGTTCAAGCTGCCAGGAACAATCAACCTTTGCTTGTGTGTCCATCTACAAGAAAGCCATTAGAAAATATCCTAAAACCTTTAAAATCTTTCTTTTCAGAAATATGCTAAAAAAATGCACTTTTTGAAAGTTTCTAGTCTGTAGCTAAGCCTAGTATTCGAATGCCAAATTTCCTAGGGGTTGCTACTGATAATAGGAGACAAGTGGCAGGAAATACTTCAGAATAAATAAGAAATTTAGTCAATCTCCCAGCCTGGGGTGGAGCTGCCAGGAGTAAGCTTCTTAATAGAACTTCACAGAATTACTGTTCTATCTTTGTATCTGCATAAAAACTGCATTTAGATAGTCTCAGAAAGTGCATCAGGTCTAAACATAAGAGTAAAAATAACAACCTGAGATGCAGTTAACCTACTGTTCTACAGAGGTGCTGGCAATAGCAAAGACAGAGGTGAGAAATTTGTACATTATTTATATCCTCTATAAACACGAGTTCAGTGAGGACAGCACAAAGCACTTTCTTTTAGTGAAAGTGAATTAGTACTTAGTAACAAGATACCTACACTCTTAAAAACAGTCCAAGTATTGACCCCATATAATGCTGGATTTAAAATTAAAATACACTTTCTTGTCAACCCACCTAAAGACAAAATGAAACAGCACAACTAACAAAACACAAATTCCTATTATTTTTGTGAAGCAGCAATGAAATTTCAATTCACGCAATGTCAAGTCAGTAGACTTTTCTAATTTACCTTTCTAAATTGAGAAGTCAAATAAAGGAGCAAACCAACACCAAAATATCAACAACACCACAAAGATTTTAGCCTTTTAGAGGCATCTTACATCCTTCCCCTAGGTCAACAAAGTAATCCACACTGCATGGAAATAAAACTGGAGTAATGCAAATGCTCCAGCTGGAGATCAGGAAGACTGAAGGTCTCTCTCTTTCTTCCAAGGTCAAATAAATGCAAACTCAGCTACACTGAAGGATCTGTATTATCATATAATTTAAAGTCTAAGGCATTCCACAATCACTTCAGAAGTCAGAGCAGATATATCCTGAGTATCATGATAAGGCATATTTTTATGTAGTAACAGGAAAAATTAGTATGTCCAATGGTACTTGAATTTTTCAGGCTCTGAATACCACTGTGTTAACACAATGAATTTACTGCATATGCTATAGCTATGTAAAAGCTGTTGTCACATAAGAGAATCACCATCACACCCGCCATCACATCATGAGTCAAACTGTAATACACTTCAAAAAGTATTCTACCTAATAAAAAAATTAAATATCATTACTCACACATGCTGTATAATAATCAGATGTAGTCAGAAATTGGTTCTTGTAAGTCTAATATATACAAAAATATTACAAAAAAAAAGCTAAAATAATTGCCAATCTGATATCTATATATTAATTTTTTTTTAAAAAAACCTATTTTGACCTTGCTTTTGCACAAACAGAAAATGTTTTGAATCAAAGCTTTTTTTTTTTTTTTTTTTGAATTCAAGGATTTAAATAATGTTCTTAGCAAATATCATTTTAAGACCTCCCTAGGTCTGCACAAGGCCACACACAAGAGAGAAAGAACTGAGCCAAGGTTGCCTCCAGACTCTCCAGGCACAAATTTTTCCAGTTTTCGGTTAGATGAGGACATAGGGGTGTGTGCCACCCAGAAATGGTGCTGAGACCTCCAAAGAGTTACAGACTTGTGTATGTCCAACAGAGGTTCAGCACAAAGATCTGCTGGGGTCTATTCCAAGGAGAAAGGACTTCCATATCCCTCATGGTTTTACACCTTGTGTTTAACTATTGTGTTGGAAAACACACTGTACATTTTCCACACAATCATTAGCTAGAACCACATCAAGGCTGGCTGGCCACTCAGACATCTGAAATCCAACCATCCTGTCATCTGCATCTCCACTTCCCCAGCTGGCTCCAGTGAGAGCTGCACATGCATCACTGGTGACTAACTGAGCTCCTACAACTCGGCCTCTACAAGCCACTCATCAGAGGAGGGTCACACTAGCACAGTGATGGATGTATGGAGCTTCAAAGCAAAAAAAAACCACCAAAAAAGCTGAACTTACGGACACACATTTCCCTGCTTTCATAGAATCCAGGGCAGCACTGGGATTTGCGCCTGTACATCGTTTTCTCACCATGTCTGTAGGCAGTACGGTAACTGATCCTAAGGAAAGGAATGAGTGTTTGTCACGTACCTTGGTTCAGAAACAAGACAGGATGTATTCTTACACATTTTAAAAAACATTCAGGTGTCATAAGAAAAGGAAAAAAATGCTCAGAGTGGTCTTGATTTATCTGTCGCCAATTTCAAGAGTCCAAGTGCCTTAGGTTCATGGTTGGTCATAAAGTGGGAAAAGAATAGGGACTTTTTCACTTGTGGGCATATTCCTCTGAGGAAAATGCTCTTTGGAGATGTCACCAGTTTTTATTCATTCAACCCTTGCTTGTTTTCTGCTTACAAGGAAGTTTCCTTTAACAAATCTTTTTACTTTTCTTCCCTCAGGAAGGAAGTGTACACTTACTTCCCTCAGAACACAACACTGCAAGCAACAAGGGGTCCCCATGATATTTCTGAAAAAAAACACCTTGCAGGGTCTGGACAATTTAGTTTTTCCCAAGCTGTTTGCTTTCTGTTAGCACTCCATGGGATGGTACACCCCAACCTCCTAATAAAATGTATGTGACATTGCTTGGACAAGCATTTTCCAGCTGACATAGATCACAGCAGTCAGACAGACTGGACACTACAGCTAAAAAATACTACATATCATGCTTGATTTTGAATCAAGAATCTTAACAACATCAGCAATTTGACAATATTAGGATTTATACATCACCTGTGTCGCGTGCACTTGAACCAGTTTAGGATGTCAGTACAACTGGTATAGTAAATCTGATCAAAAGGATGTGGATATGATTCTTGAACTGTAACTGAGTAACTGGGGAGAGACAGAGAGAAAAAATGGAGATCATCAAGCAAGTCCTTTTAGTACAGTCTCATTTAATTAGGTCTTTTGCAGAATCCTGTTACAGAATGGAATAAATATAACAAAATACTCGTGTCTAAAAAATGAGACCAAAAGCTGGCAAAGAAAAATAACTTGCAGAGAGTCACCATGTTTCTACTGTGTAATACATTTGATGAAATTCCACTACTTGACATTTAAAGAAATGTAATGTTAACTAGACTTTTTTTAAAAACCAGAACAGCTGTATCTCAAATAGGCAGCAAACGGAAGTAGGGCAAAGGGAATTAGGTGTTCTCCTGTGGAAACTCTTATTAATGCAACTAGATAACTGAAAACTAGTTAAGGAGCCAGAAAATGAGATTTCTTCTATTATCATCCAAAATAGAAAAAAACAGGACTTTCTGAGAAATTTATTGTAAAAACTTGATCCTGGCCTACAGGAAGACAAACAGTGCATTTAGATACTAAGTGAATGTTAACACAGAAATACACCTGAGTACTGAGTACACTACAGCATGCCACCAAACAGTCTATTCAGCAATCAGAAATTAATGGATCCTGAACACCATACTTTCTTTTGCTTACTGGATAATTTTTGACAGGGAACCGCCCACACCACACCACACCCCCAGAAATACTATACGAAATCCTTTTTTTATTATTTTGCCAAAATAAACAATTATACAGTGTCCTAGAAACAAATCTGCACTGAGAGCCTCCAAAGCTGTCAGTAGGGCAAGAGGAGCAGAGCCCTGTCGCAAAAGGGGAAAATATTGAATCATCCTAGAAAACTCTTCGAGATTGTTTGTGCTGGCAGCCACTCCTGGATTGCGCAAGGGAGCTTGAAAATACAGGAATGCATGGCAAGCTCCTGCAGCAGGACTGATTCCCAGGACACACCAAAACACTAAACAGCCTGCCCAGCTCTCCCTCTCTTCCACTCACACCCTCTCCGAGCCCTGAGCCCCCACTGCAGAGTGACAGCCAAGGACTCCTCATCCTGCAGTCACCATCTATGCCAAGAGCAAGCACGTCCAGAGACACTCACCCCTAAATGCACACACCCTACTCCATGTTTTCCTGCATGAAGGCAAGCTGCCCTAATCCACCCAGCTGTCCCAGCCCAGCAAAATACCAGGGGGATGCTGCTGCTTGCCTGAGGCTCTACCCCTTGTTTGTTTGTAAAGACCATTTTAGTCCTGACAGAGGTCTATTTTTTATTTAAAGCATACAACAGTGACAGTCAAGAGCTTCTGTCTGGCACTTTGCCCATTCATACTTCTGTCCCTTTGTCACCTGCTTTGGGCAGCAGCCTGAATGTTTCACTGAGTTTATTTGGAGCTCTGCCCTGTTTGTGAGACAGCACAAGAAGGAAAAAAAGTTCATGCAACAAAGTGGGCATGCTTGCTGGATGCATTTTTCAGTATATTTTTCCTTCTGCAGATTAACTAGTTTTAAATTATATTATGCAGTGTAAATAGTTATATTCAGGGTTTCTTTCCCATTTTGCTTTCACTATGTTGTAGCTTCCCCCAAAACTACTTCTACCTACAAAAACTGTAACAAAGCACACACAACATAGGACAGTATCCAGTAACACTGCAGACAAATGTCTGACTATTATGAACAGGTATTTAATATGGTGACTACTTCATAAACAAATTGTTTCATGAACTGTACACAGCAGCTGAGGCAGAGGTGACAAATGCTTGACATGAAGCTGAGGTAAATTTCCAAGGAATGTCCTTACATGTTGGTTTTGGTTCTTTTTTAAAGAGAGATTTTACAAAAAAGTAAATACAAGTTTCAATTTTCTCTGTAAAGATTCAGCCATAACAATTACCAATAAGTGTATAGTGGCTCAGCAGCACTCCCCATGACTACACACAACACAGTTTACATTAAGTACAGGAAATACTGATGTCCTGAAGTGAACTGTGGAAATTAAGACTGTCTCATGGACCAGCTGATCAATTACAGGCACAACAGTTGTAATGAGACCAGAAGTCTTGTTTTCACTATCATAACCTTTATACAAGAAAATAAGTTCAACAGATGCTTGAGGCTCAACCTCTCCAACCCATTGTGGCATTTTACAATTCACATTAAATTGGATGAACAGGCCAACTACATTGATGATGAATTTCATTTTGCATGTTATAAATTTTTGAACCTCATCAAAATAATTAAACAACAAATCTTAATTCAGATCCTGTGAGCTCTGAATAGGATGGAATCAGCATAATCAAATTTGGCCAAATTCCAATATGGTTAATTATATTTTGCATATGTAAAATTTCTTTTCACCTAAATTGGAAAGAGCTATTTTTACTCACTTCTAGTACCCAGATGGTTGTGCAACATTGCTGGTACCACTGTAGTGGTTTTTTGCATCCTAATCCCCAGTGCAAAGATGCATTTCAGCTCACTGTTAAACAGTGAGTCCATGAACTCACCTGCCCATACAATAAAGTGAATTTTTTCCCTCTGTTTTTAGACTCAGCTAAAAGCCTTCGATAATTAGAAGTATGCCAAGTAAAGCAAAGCAAAATTATTACATCAGAATTTACGTCACTTATTTTTCCAAAAGGAAAGCATTACCTTTCCCAGTGGCTACACACATTAGGATCTTCCAGATTCAAAGACACAGTTGAACCCATCCAGTGGTACAGGAGTATGACAGGGAAGCCAAAAAGGGAGTTGAAATGAAGAACCATCTTTCCAAAGAGATGACTGTGAGGAAGAAAATAAATAGTACATTAGTAATACCATACGAAATATAAAGTAGGCAATAATGTTGACCCATCTCTAATCAATCTAAAGCAAGGGGTACTTCAAGGAACACACACTGCTTGCCCACGCAACAGCAACACCACGCCTGTTTTGGAAGAAGAGCCCAAATGGAGCTGTTTCCCATGAGGGCAGTGGTGGACAAGCTGCACCTCAGAGGTCCTGCTGTCCCCTCCAGCTGCAGCCACCCAGGCTGGGTGTGCTCAGCCAGGCTCTGCCCATCTGAGAGCCAGAGCTGATGTCTGGAATAAAGGCTGGCACTTGCTCAAGACCACAAGAGTGGAGAGGCTCAGCTGTGACACAGCACCAGGAGCCCTGCACATCCCTCATCCACAGGAAGGGTTTGTGCCTCTCCATGTGCTCCCCATGGCCAGCACAGCCTCACATGTCACCCTGCACTGTCACTGCTCTTTAAACTGGAATCCCCAAAATGTAATTCCCCTTCCTCAGCCGGCTGTACAGTTTCCAAACAGAATAAGCATTCATTAAAAAAAGCTGTTGTAGTAACATGAAGGTCTGAAAAGATTATCCTAACACTTTTACTAAGCAAATTATTTTAATTTGCATGCTGAAACACTCTTAATCCAACTGACCATTAATCCAAAATGCCAGAATGAATGCTTTTAACATGTAATTTATTTGTAATGACTTAAGCTACATTTCTGTTTTGGTGAACAGTTGACCTTATTTCCTCACTTACACACTGATTGTAACACTATGTGGCTACAGAGATAACAAAAAAATGAGACCCTTGAGTCTAATCTGTAGTAGAATAAGAAAATGATTTCTAATAAATATGTTTGATTTAATAAAAATATTTTAACACAGTAAATTAATCCAGAAATAGCAATTTCTTACTTTAAATATTATGGAACAGAATAAAGCAAATTACATCAATCACTCTATTATATGAAAAAGAAGACCACAGAACCATGGGGGGGAAGAGACAAAATAGTATTACTTAACTCTTACTTTGGAAATAAACATAAAACACCTCACAACAAGAAACTATTCTCTTTAAGGTATCTGAGGATACAGAGATGATCCTATTTTGCTGAATTGCTCTTGAAAAATCAGGCTGCTGAAAGGTATTTCTTGGTCTGTAACTATTTCGCTGCATGCAGCAAAGCAGTCAGTGTGCACTTATTTCAACAGCAGCTGTATTTTCACCTAATAATTGCAGTGAAGTTGTGATTTCATTGAAAATATTCACTCTGATAAAGCAGACTGTAAATGGTATTTCCCTTTTTTCTTTCTTTTATTCTCAACTTCAGCAACTTTCCTTTTGCAGGATACATTTAACAAAATTTAAGATTAAAAAAAAAAATTTGCATGAACCCCCTAGAGTAAAACTTGATTGCATTCCAGATCTTTCGCTTAATTATTAAGGAAAATCAAAACAGAAAATCAGTACAGCTGATTAGCATTGCTGAAGTGTTGATATTAGCAATAAAAGATGCAGATGACTCATTTAACTCTTGCTGCCTGCAGTTTACACCAAGAAGAACTGTTCACAGATTCGCTTTTCATACCATATATTGCTCAAATTATCTCACCCAATAACAGGAGAATATTTTCATTATCTACATGTACACAGAACCTGTAGTTTAAGTACTGAAAATGCTCATTTTGAGGAATGCCTTCCCTCTGCAAATTAGTACATACATGAGACAAAAAAAAACCCCAACAAATTTAAGATAATCCTTGGTGTTTCACCACCAGGGCTTCCTTTCACAACAGAACACTAAAATCTTATTGCTTGTTAGTTTTTTCCACAGCATGTGAGGCAAAATCTCTCACTGACAAAGCTGTATCTTTATTCTTATTTCAGGTAGGAACTTAAAGGCAGCACCAGTGTCTGTTCAGGTCACACTTCTCTGTTTCCCTCAACTTTAACCCATGCCCATGATTTAAAAATTTTAACAGGAAAGCAGTGCAGCTGCATGAAACAGCTGTAGAGTACTTCATCTCTGTAAGCTAATTAAGGAAATTTAACTCATTATATATTTATTTTATAAAAATCAGATAATCAATAACAGTAATTTTTAAAAATAAACCTGATCACCCCAAGGTTTATTATATTTACTAATAAGCTCATCTTAAAATGGTGTGAAAAGTGTACAAAATATACTCTCATAAATTACAGGTACTCCCCTAAAATACATTTAAACTTGAGCAACTGCACAAATTGCATTTGTCTCACTAGTAAGCTGATGAAAAATCCTGTATGTGCACTATATAAACACAGACAGTTAACCATTAATATCCAATAGCTGAGATTTTTAGGCACTTTCTCTGCCACTACTATGTTGACAGTTTTTTATTTGGTTTGGGATTTTTTTCCCCCCCATGTAGAATTCAGGATCAAAACCAGAGAAATAAGAGATAACTAAAGAAAAGAGGCAAAAAAATGCTTCTTAATGAGGTGGAAATGAAGACTGCTTACAAATTAATCTCTCCCCTCGCCCAGAGCAGAGCCACAGGCAAAGCTGAGGACACACATCTCTCTCCCTCAGATTTCTTGTACTAAAAGGTAAATAAATACAGGTGGAGGTGGGCGTGGGGGAGCAGGGGAAGGTATGATGGACACTATAAAAGAAGTGAAGGTTGCTCAAGGCTGCAAACAAACATTTTTTTGGTCAGCAAAATCAAGTGCTGCCAGAGAATTAACCAGGATTAGAACTGCATGAGCAACAGAGAATAGTATGACACAGTTGCTAACATGACATAATGGACCCAAGACCAAGGGAAACGCTGATGCAGCTTTCCCATTACTGTTGCAAAAGCATTTTTACCATTGAAACATGAAAAATGCAGCAGGAACGGCCATTTAGACAGAAGACAAACTCCAGAGTAGTGAGAGCCTTTCGTACTCTGTCGTGGCATCTCAAAGGTTTTACAGACTCAGTCCTGCCTTTCTGCAGTGACAGGGCACAAGGACATCAAAATGTTTTCTGAGCTGCAAACCCATGGGCTATTCTTAATTGTACTGACATGGCATCGACCTGCATGTACAGCAAGTGCTACTTCAAAAAGAAATCTTCTCTCTGCCCATCATAGTTTTCTTCAAATTTCAGACTGAATTGTAAACCACACAGTCATCTGTGCAGAGCCCCTTGGAGGTGTCTTTGCCATCACTCTCTCCAGAGCACCCCACACAGACTTGGTGACTGGAACTGGAAATTACAGCTCCATGTTAGTTAAAGGAATTTTTCTAGCCCTTTTTGGGTGAAGAATTGTTTGTTCTTTCACTTCCTACAGAGTCTTTTCCATAACACTCTTCATTCCTGACGCTCAGTTCCTCTACCAGGGACACAACTTGCTTATAAAAACATCTCTCTCACAACTGATGTCAGGCAGAGCAAAATTTGAATCTGACCTAATCTTGTCAATGATGATTAATCCCATGCTAGCTTCCGTGAAAATAAAAAAATCCACAACTGATTGCTTTTATCGATTACATTAGAGAATTAATGGATGAAGAGCAGAAGGCATTTTCCCTTTGGAAATCCGTAAATCAGTTTGACACCTTGTCACATGAAATCTCACTCATAAAGCAAATACAAAATAACCTGAATTAGGAGCATTATCACACAGACCCCAGGCTGGCTGAAGATGTACACTCACAGCAAATGGAAACTGACTGGTCTTTTCCCAAATCCTCAAAACATATCACTCCAAAGGCAGCATTGATTGTCACTGTCACAGGGAGCTCAGGACAGACCAAACTGGGAGGGCTGAAACTCTGCCTGGCATAAAATGTGTGGGATCTGCACAGCCAGCATGGGAATTTACTCAAGGGTAACACAATAGTGCCCTAAACTGAAGGGCCCTAAACTTTCACACCCTCCATGGTCAAAGATGATAGGAGCCCTTCTTGATGCAGCTTAATCAGATCTGACCCTCTCCACCTGTGCTGCTGTACTTTCAAACCTCACGGTGAAACAGACTGACACACTTGGAGAGTCCAAAGGTGTTGAAGATGGGCTAAGTACATCATGTGGGAAAAGCAACTCATTTAGACTGGTGTCTGAAGAATAACCAAATCAAAAGCTGAGTGTGCTGGAACAAGTCTCCTTGATGGAGACAGATATGCTGCTACTTTTTTCATGTTACGTTGCTAATAAAAATAAATCAGTAATCAATGACCATTTTTCTTTGGTTATTAGATGACATCATTTTTATTTTTCAGTCTCCCTTTAATTATCGGAGGCTTCTAAGAAAATGAGGTTTATGTAATCACAGTGTTTGTCTCTATGTTCTGGCCTCATGCCCAATAATTTGTAAATTTATTGGTCACTTAAAGCAAGAAAGGGGAAGAAGTCTTGAATTGTGGAGATCCAGAGAATCCAGTGATAATACACAAGCCTGGAGGAGATCAGACTTTATTTGCCCAAGTGATGGAATTACCAGTTTTCAAAACTACAGCATCACAGTCTTTTCAGTAATGCTATAATTTCACAGACTGCATCTCTCTACCATTCCTACTAAATATAAATACAATAATATATTACTTGATTTAAAAATAACAGAGAGCAGCCTTCAAACTGTATTAAAACTGTAAACTGGAGTATATTTTGAAGTTAAACTGTATTTTTTTTTTTTTTACTTAAACAAAAACATTTCCTGGTGTAAACCTGGAGAGGTTGGGAGCTGTCACACCACACAGTGTTTTGTAAGCATCAAACAACCTCTTGCATTGTAATTACAAGAACAGAATGAAGTAAGGTAACTGCAAACATGGGAGGAAACAGGAAAATTTACCACCCAGCAAATATGTGGATTTGCACTAGTAATGCCACAGGATCCCAGATAATACAGGTGGCTGGATACCATGAATCATGCTGCAGCACAGACCCAAAATCAAAGGAATATTGCAACACAGTCCTCAAGGACTCTGTCCTTCCCTGCAGAACTCTCAGCAGTATCTTTTACAAGACCAG